AGTGGTCATTTATAGAGCACAAAGATGCTGGGAGCCAACTAGGGTTCGGCTGTACGTGGTCACCTAGGTGCTGTGTGGTCCAGAGACCTGCAGCAACCACACTGTCCACTATGTCAGGTTTGTTCGGTGGAAGCTGCTCTGTTGCATCAGACTCTTCAGGTAGACCGATGCATGCCCAGGTTGGAGACTCCATGCCCTATGGAGTATGTGGGTGTCTTTTTACTCCTGTCCCGTCTTTAATTCCAGAATATTCCACTTGCGTATCAGGAGGCAGCATCATTTCTATGAGCTAACTTCTCCTTTACTCTGGTTTCCTCTTCTCTTGGATATTGTGAGAGTCAGCCTAGGACTTTGTATGTGTGAGCTGTGTCCTCAGGCCCTAAGAACTTTTCTTTAAATAGATCTTTGAGGATGTGTGTGTTTTGCGTGTGTGATGTGTGTGTGTGGATGCAGATGTACGTGTGCCACATCTTCCATGTGGATCAGAAGACAGCTTTGAGAATTAGATCATCAAGGTTGTGTAGCAAGTGATTTTTTAAGATAATTTTTAAAGATATTTTTATGTATATGAATGTTTGCCTGCACTTATGTATGTGCACCGTGTGTGTGCCTAATACCTGAGGAGGTCAAAAGAGGGTGTCAGAGGCCCTGGAACTGGAGTTACAGATGGTTGTGCATCACCATGTGGATACTGGGAACCAAACCTGGGTTCCCTCTGAGATCAGCAAGTGTCCTTACCTGCTGAGCCTTCCCCCTGTAGCCCTGGCTAATAAGTTTATAAAACATTTTGTATTCAACAAGCAAGTTGTGTGCAGAGCTTTTCCAAAATGTTCTTTAGGAAATGGGTACCGTATTACGCGAAACGGTCAGGAGATGGAGCAGCTAAGAGCTAGAGATGCTCGCTACTCACGGGATAGTGGCAGGAGTGGGGGCAGGAACTGGATGCTGCCCCTCACATCATCCGTTACTCAGAGGGTATGCAGCCTCAGCCCTGCCTGTTCTTTGGCAACTTATCCAAGTGGCCCTGGTCACACAAACCCGGGGCAGTTCTGTAGTACGATGAGGTAGCCATGACTTATCTGAACCTCCTTAGTTTACGGACCACTTTCACTCATTGTGTGTCCTTGGGTCCTTAGAAGGCTCTCGGGAGGAGGCAGGTATTACTCATTGTGTCTTCCGAACATTGGTGCCTCTGTTTCCCCGTTGTAAAACCCAAAACAAACATTTATAGTGAACTCTATGAAGCGGAAGGGCCTTGTGATGGGCTCCATCAGAGTAGCCCCTTCGCCTTCGGGGAGTCACGTGACTGCGTGTGAGGCTCACAGCGGTTTCCCTTGACGCCCTTGCCTTAACTGCCAGTGCTTTACCACCACCGTGTTGAGGCTTTAGTCCCCGTCCTCGAAGAAGTGTTCTGTGTAGCTCCAGACCTCCAATCCAGATTAACACCGCGCATCTTCAAATGTTTAAACCCCCGCCCGGACGTTTTGGGTTTCCGGGACGACTTAGATGTTAAGTCTGAATTTTCAGCATGATTTAAAAATGAATCCAGTTGCTGGTTTTAAACTGTGACTTAAGTTGGTATTATAAGACTTAATTTTTATGTCTGTGTGTTTGGTGTGTGTGTGTGCACGTGGTGTGTGTATACATGCTACGGAGGGTATGCGAAAGTCAGAAGACAGCCTTTGGGAATCACTTCTCCTCTCCTTCCCCCTTTACATGGGACCTTGGGCTTTGAACTCAGGTCAATCTGCTGCCCCACACCTCACTGACCCTATTTTAAATGTGTAGCATACGTGTATCCTGGTTCGGCTAAAGAAAGGACAGGAAACTTTTGTCAGTCCTATTTTAGAGGAGAGGAGATACATTTGGGGTACATCCAACTTGTTACCTCTCCAAAAGACTGATGTTGAAGTGTGTTATCCAAGCCCAAACCACTTCAGAATTTGTTCAAAATAGCCCACGTTGTTAGCAGTAAATTCATTAATTTTGCTGGGGTGGGGTGACCCCAGGACCTTGTGTATGCTAGTCAAATATTCTGTCTCTGAGCTACACCCCGGCCTTCCTAAATTTCGAGTAGTATTTAAGCAAATACTGATTGAGCAAAAATGCCCTTCATCAGTTAGTTACCTTAGCTCTGCTCTCAGCCAACTTCCAGGAGGTCTGGTTTGGTGGCAAACCTCGAAAAGCTGGAGAGCCCCTGGAGGAAACTCTGGACAGCTTTATATCTTTTTCTTTTTGGGTGATCATGAGATTCCTGACATAAAATCAGCTGGCAAAGAGCCAGCTGTGGGGGCAAATACCTGTTATCTTAGTGCTTGGGAGGTGGAGGCAGGAAGGCCTCCAGATACTTCAAACTATCCTGGGCTCCATGAGACAAAAAGAAATGCCCAAAACGAAAAATGCATAAGTAAATAGTAAGATTGATTGACAAATCATGCCACCATCTGCCTTTGGGTAGAACTTTGGTGTACAGATTTTTTTTTTTCTAAAAGGCTCCCTGGCAGCTACGTTCCTTCTCATTCCTTGTCAAACACATGTAGGACTAATTTTCAAAATAGGTAGTTACAGCTGTGTGTGGTAGTGCGTGCCTGTTAACCTAACACTTGGGAGACTAGGCAGGGGGATTGGACGTTCACGGCCAGCCTGAGTACAATCTGGCCTAGATGAAGCTGTGTCCATCGCCCCCCTCCAAAAAAAAAAATAATAATAGACAAAAAAAAAATCCCACAAGGACTGGAGAGATGGCTCAAGCAGTTCAAAGTACTGACTGCCTTTCCTTTCCGCAGGGCCTGGGTTCAGTTCCCAGCACCCACAGGATGTCTTACAGCCATCTGCAACCACAGTCCAGAGGATGTGATGCCCTCTTCTGGCTTCCAAGAGCACCAGGCATGCACAGACAGATGTGCAGGCAAAACACCTTAGACGTAAAGTAAAATAAGAGTAACAACAACAAAAATCCCGCAAAGCATAGTTAAAATGCTCTGTAGAGCCAACTGGAATTATTCTTCTCGGTCATAATTTCTACCTCACAAATTCAATTTTTTTAAATATTTGTGTGTGTGTGTGTGTGTGTGTGTGTGTGTGTGTGTACACACAGTGACAAGCTCCATGCAGAAGGCCTAACTGGAACCTACTGGCAGTTGTGAAGATACCAATACTGGAGATTTTGGAGTCCCAAGTAAAGACTCACAAAGTTGACTATGCAGTGAGGACTCTGAAATAACCTGGTGCTGGGGCCACAAAGACGGGAGGATGGTCATGTAGTAGAACTGACGGAAACGTGGAGCAGATAGATCACTGGAGACCAATTTAGGCACCTTAACCCATCCTAAGGATCTTCTGCGCTAGCCCTTTGCTGTCTCCTGCCCTTGTAATCCCTAGGTTGGGTCAATTTGTCCATGTTAACCTGCTAAAGAGGGGAACGGCGCTAGCCAGAACTGATTTCCATACTCTCTGTGCCACGTGACCACTTGGAAGTGGAAATTCCATGATTTATTTTCTGTCCAACTGAAGGGTGGTTTTCTAGAGAGGCCATTGGTACCTTAAAGACCAAGGTTCATTCCAAGGCCTGGGTATCGTTTTCTTTTATGCTAATTTCCAGGTTGTGTTGACGTGTGGTGTAAGGCTCTTTCTGGACGGGGTCTGCTCGCAGGGAGCAGAAGACTCTCCTGTCTACTCGACGCCTAGCCTGGTCTTAGGATCAGGAGCTTGTGTGATGCTAGCAGGACACATTTATGTAACTACAGGTAGCTCCCGAGTCTGGCTGCCATTTTAGATCACCAAGAGCTGGACTGGGGCAATAGAGGCTGGGAAGGTGATGGAGTGTGTGCCCTTCTAGGAGATTGGCATGTCTCTCTCGTCTTCGTCATCGCTGGGTACCATCTGGATGCTCAGAAGCTGCTTAATGAAAGGGAAGTAGTAGCTGGCTCTGTTCCATCTCTACCTCGTTCAGCTCTCGCAGCCGCTTTGGGGGGGACAGAGCTGTTTCAGAGGAGGATGCTCAATTGAAACTGCTTGCCCAGGTCACAGGCTGCTAAGTAGGAACAGAAAACCATGAACTATGGGCTGTCTCTGACAGAGCCAGCCATCCGGGGTTACTTGGTTATGTGAATGTGTTTATTTCTAACATGGAGTCCGTCTGGTCATTTAGATAAAAATGGTTCTGACCTAGTTATTTCTTTACTTTACAGAGGGTAATTCCATGAGGGTTTTTTCCCCCCCTGAGTCTCATACATTTGACTGGAGCTCCTTCTGGGCCACTGCAGAGCACTGGTTAGAACTCCTGGTGATCGACTCCGGAGAAACAGATACAGAGAAAACTGGGGCATCCGCCGTAACATCCTGTGGGTTTTAGAGGGTGCCGGGAGCAGGAGTGACTTCTGGCTCCTTCAGGCACCTTTGTGTCTCTAAGATGCAAATGCCTACATTGCTCACCCATGCTGCAGCGCTTCCCACGGTCTTCCCACTTGAGGACTAAAGCTGTGCGCCCAGTTAAGACATTTCTAGAAGGCTGAGTCTCGTAGCTGCCTTTGCAAACTGTACCTGCGACATGGAGCTCCATGCATTCTCATTGTCTCTAAGTGGCTGCACAAGTTAAGCTGTCTCTGCTTGGACCATTTGTCCCACGTCTCTTTTCCCTCTGCCATTCTTCAGTTCTGGTGGCAACCTCTCCCGTAGGGCCTCTGTAGTAACCTGGACTTATTACACACTAGTATTTACCAACTTATCGTAAATACCTATGTTCCCAATATGATCATCAGGCAGTAGCATCATCTTTTTTTGTTGTTGTTTTGTTTTGTTTTTCAAACTCAGGGTCTTTTTTTTTTCTTCACAGGGTTGCTACTCTGTTTAGCCCTGGCTGTCCTGGAACTTGCTCTGTAGACCAGGCTGGCTTTGACCACACAGAAATCCTCCTTCCTCTGCCCCTTGAGGACTGGGATTAAAGGTGTGACCATCAGATGGTAACGTTGTTGGAAGGAGGTCGCTTGTTTGTCCCGGCTGCCCTGCTAACTCAGTCGGTAGAGCATGAGACTTCATCTCAGGGTCGTGGGTTCGAACCCCATGTTGGGCACCAGACGAAGAAGGACACTTAAAAGAAATCTCCCACTATCTCAGAATTGAAAATAGATGGTTATTTATTTAGGGGTAGACTCATAAATCAGTAGCCTTTGCTGGAACGGAGAACAGCAACTGAATCCCACAGCCAGGAAAGAGGCCGGATGCACGCTTTACATCCACATAAATAGTATAAGGGGCCACTCCGCAGTGGGTGGGTAACTTAAAGGCTACTGGCTAGAGGATTTCCCACAGCACATCTTTCCTTATAGTCACCCAACAGACATATTCAGTAAACACGTCTACATTAACAAATGTCAGATTTGGGTGTCTTATCAATCTTTCAAAGGCAGAGTCCCGGGAAGAAAATGTTTTATTAATCTCTTCTTCCAGTTCCCTGTTGTCAGGTACCAACATTTTCAACCTTTATATTTTGCACTCTGTGTGGTCAACCCCGAGCCTCCTACTCCAAGCTTCTGTTGGTTTCCTCCCAGATCTGAGGTTTCCTAGGTGAAGCCACATCAGGCCCACTCTCAACCCCACCTCCCTTCGCCATCAGCCATGCCTTTTGTACAGTAAATCTTGACCCTGCACGGTAACTTCCAGCTGTCAAAGTTCTTGCACCTTCATTATCAGCAGCACGCCACTGGCTGGGTCCCACAGAGAACAAAGCCAAGTCATTATTCACTGCCAAGGCCTCTTCTCCCCTCCTTCCAGCCAATGCCCGGTTCTAGCAGGATGGGTCACAAGGCATCCCATGCTCACTCTCATTCCCTGTTTGCGCCTTGCTTTGTTGGCGTCTCTGCAAAGTTTCTGTCCCAGCCCTTTAAGTAGTTGAGCGCAGATGGCTTCCTGGGTCCAATGATAAGGAGCATCAATGAGCTGCAAGACAAGGCTGCTTTAGGATGCGGGATTTGTGGGTCTTCCAGAGGCTGAGGATGTAGTTCAGTGGGTAGAAAGTCCTTGCTTAGCCTCGTGACATACACCTATAATCCCAGCACTGGGGAAGTAGGAGGTTTAGGAGTTCAAGGTCATTCTTGGGTACCTACTAAATGGGAAGCCAGCCTGGGCTACACTAGACCCTGCCTCAAAAAATAAGATCTTTTCAAAAAATTATTATTATTTTATTGTTTTATGTGTGTATTTTGCCTGTGTGTATTTCTGTGTACCACATGTGTGTCCATGGAGGCCAGAGAAGGGAGTTGGATCCCACAGAAATGGTTGTGAGCCACTGTGTAGGTGCTAAGAACCAAACCTGAGTCCAAGGGGAGAACAGTCAATGCTCTTATCTGCTGAGCCATCTATTTAGCCCCCTAAAAATAAAATCTTGTCAGCTCTCCAGGAATTTGAGATGATTTTTATACACAGTCTAATCTCTCTCTCTCTCTCTCTCTCTCTCTCTCTCTCTCTCTCTCTCTCTCGTCTGGTACATGGACAGCACCTCTGGTGCCTTGGCTAGACTTGGATTCTGGGCTGTGAACTAGAGGCCTAGGTGCCCACCTCTTGATTTTTCTTCTTAAGAGTCTAGAAACCATTTGCCACCCTGGGAAGCTGGTCTTTCCCACACATCCACTGAGAACCAGACTCCCCGGGGAGCCCTTGAAGCTGGCGTGAGAATTGAGTGCTGGCTTCTAGTCCTGTGATTGTTATAATAAAAAATTACTCGTAACTTTCCATAATCGGGTTCAGGTTGTGATAATGTACTTAAATTCGTTTCTGGAGTGAACAGAGCTCTCTCTCTCTCTCTCTCTCTCTCTCTCTCTCTCTCACACACACACACACACACACACACACGCACACACAGAGGCTTCCAGACCTAGACATCTCTAAATGGAGGAAGTGACAATCACAGTGGATACAAAAATCTGAGTCACCAGGTAACTAAGGAAAAGCACAAAAGCTTCAGTGCAGACGAGTCTGGTGAAAAACAGCTATGATCCCCAGGAGGCTGCGGCAGGAGAATAGCCAGTGTGAGGATAGCCTGGATTATACAGCAAGACTGCCTCCAAAAGACCAAACAAACCTCGCAAGATTCCACCTCACCAGTAGATTTGAGTTAGGGCCTTAGCTTGGCCTACACATTATGGAGACCTGGTTGGCCTTGAACTCACAGAGATCCACTCGTCACTGCCTCTGGTAGGATCACAGGAATGTTCCATCATATCTGGTAAGTGGCCGGCTTTTAGTTTTAATATTTATTTATTTTACTTTATGAAAGTTTTTCTTACAGATATGCGTTTGCACCATGTGCGTGGCTGATGTCTGTGGCGGTCAGAAGGCAGGCAGCCTTGGATTCCCTGGACCTGGCGTTATAAGAGGGCTGTGAATTATTGTATGGGTGCTAGAAACCGAACCTGCGTCTTCTACAAGATGATACGTGCTCTCTAGCCCCAAAATGACCTGTTTTTAAGAGCCAGAAAAATCGGGGTTCTGAGTCATAATCTAGGATCCTGTTCTCCCATCACTGGGAGGTGGGGGCTACGTGCACAAGATATAAGGACAATGTGAAGCAAAGCCTGAAGCCTGTGCATCTGTCTTTTTAGGGACCCTCTCCCTAAACCGACTCCAACCTTTCTTTTAATTTATTCACTTATTCATGTATATATTTAGTGTATTGTGCATGCATGCGTGTGCTCGCACGCACAGGTATCATGGCACACACGTAGAGGTCAGAAGATACCTTTGAAAGTCTCTCTTCCCACCATGTGGTTCCTGGACTCAGAGGCAACAAGCACCTTCAACCCACTGAGTCACACCCCGCTGTCCCCACACCCCTGATATGTCCTGTCTCGGTCTTAGGAAGACCACTTAGATCCAGACACTCACCAGCTCTTCAGAGAAGCCAGGAGGCAATTTGCTATAGGAACATCGATTTCGTTACGATTTGGCCAGAGTAGGGAAAGAAAGACTTGTGAGTTCTCTGGCTTTTCTCCATAGTGATAGAATTTTTATAGGCTCCCTGAAGGGAGAGCCAGGAAAGCAAGTTCGTTCCGACTGTCAGAACTTCTGAAGTCTCTTCCTGGGAGGTGAGCTCTTCCTCCAGCTGGCACCAGGACACTGGCGGTCCTTCCCCCAGCAGGGGCTCCTGTGGAAATTTAACTCTTTGGGATTCTCTTAACAGCCTCACGGGCAAAGGAAAGGGTATCCCACCTGTGCTTAAGCTGTCTCCTCGCCTGTCAGGGCAGCTGGGCAGGGCTGATCTGTCCTCTGGGCTTGAAGGAGCTGCTGCCGTCTGAAGTCAGGTCAGCCCTGGTTGCCACATGAGACCACCTTCATAAAACTGGGCTCACGGACATCCCCTCAAGGAAAGAGGGCATCTCATCAGTCCCCTCTGCTCCCAAGATAATGAAAACAGTTAACAGTTGTTGGGGGGAAAGGAGGACTCCTTGATGGTGTAGCTGTCTTTATATAATCCCGATTGAACTCATGGGCTCTTCAAGCTGGACTTGGAATTGTTTCTTTGTCACATCCCGATCTCCCTATGTGGAATGGATAGAGATGGACTCCCCAGGGAAGGCCATGCATCAGTGATCTTGTCTCTGGAGATGGTGCATAGAGCCAAGGGCCAGCCCATCTCGCTCATCACTGCCCTGCCTCTCATTTCCCTGAGGAAAATGCAGACTTAGCTCTGTGCCTCCACTCCTGCAACAGGGCTCTCTCTGTCTGGATATTCAGAGCCCCTCATCCCGCAAGCCTAAACAGACATTTAGACTCACAGTTTCTGGAAACTTCCTTGGAGCTGAGCACCAATGGTGCAAATGCAAGGCCCTTTTCTTGTGCTTCCTGGAATTGGGGCTACTGGGATATTACCGGCTTTCCAGCGCAGACTACTAACACCTCAAGTCCTGCAAGGCTTTGGAATAAGTCTGTTGGGTCTTTGTTTGCTTTGAGACAGTGTCTCTCTAGGTAGCCCTGGGTGTCCTGGAACCTGCTACGTAGACCAGTTTGGCCTGGACCTCAGAGATCACCTGAGGTCATCTCTGCCCCCTAAGTGCTGCTGTTAAAGGCATGCAGCACCATATTTTTGGTTTTTGGGTTTTTTGTTTGTTTTGCTTTTGGGTTTTGTTTTGTTTTGGAGGGGCAGCATATTCTGGGACAGAAACCTCTGTCCAGTGTCCTTTGAATCACCCCACGTGGCTCTGTCTTTATTCTTGTCATCTCTATGAACATCAGTTTCGTGTCTTTCCCAGCCCCTGCCCGCATCCCGCTCCAACCCAAGAGGAAGGATGTCACACTAGACTCCCAGACAATCCATACAACACATAGCTGAATTTGACAGACGGTATTGAGATTGGTGGTGGTGGTGGCTCTCAGGGAAAGAAAGAAACCTTGTTCTTTTTCAGATGGGAGAGGGGGTCATGCTGGTGTTGTGTGACGTTTCCTGGGGAGACAGGAACAGATAGATGTCTGTTCACCCCAGATAGAGAATTTGATGACAGACCAATGGAACAATTCCTCCTAAACCCAGTTTGGTAAACCCGGTAGTTGATCAATGAGTTTATGAGCGCATTTACCGGCGTGTGACGAAGGGTTTGTGGAAAGTGGGTAACCCCAGAATGGTGACATCACTGAAAAGCTCCACCTCCGCATCCATGATGACCTTGTGGAAACTGTGTCGTGGAAATCCAACTTCAATTACTCTTTCATTTTTTGGGGGGGAGAGGGGTGGGTTTCAATACAGGGATTCTCTGTGTATTGCTGGTTGTCCTGGAACTTACTCTGTAGACCAGGCTGGCCTTGAACTCAGAGGTCTGCCTAGCTCTCCTTTCCAAGGGCTGGGATTAAACATGTGCACACCACCACTGCCGGACAACTTTCTATCTCTTAAACACAGAGCCCTTCACAAGATCATGTACAGCTGGGAGGGACAGGAAGGATAAGAGACTAGAATCCCAAGTGAGGGCCTATGATTGTCCCCGCTTCTCCAACAAGGAAATAGTACACTCGTTACTTTTGCTCCAGACCTAGTATCTCACTGTGCTCTGCTTATTTTGTTACCATGACTACTGGGCCAGG